GGGTATGAATTTAGCTTAAAATATTTTTGAAATTTAAATTACTATATCCTTAAAATTTAAAAAATAGATAGTAATCTTTTGATTTTAAAACAGCGAATAAATAGAAAATAATGATTTTAAATAGGATGTAAAAAAATAAATATTATCTCTATTTAAAAATAATCAGAAAATAATTTAAATTTAAAAAAGCAAGTAAATATTAGAACTAATTAAAATAAATAAGATGAATTGGATTCATAATTAAAATAGAAAGTAGATTTTGAATATTTTTTGAAACAAGCAAAATAAATTATTTTAAAAAAGGGAAGATTGGTTGTAAATAATTTTAATTAAATTTTGGAGAAATAAAAATAATCTAAACATTTTATATAGGCAGTAATCAAATTGAACATTCATTCATTCATTCAGAAATTTAATAATTAAATTTGATAATTAAAATAGAGGGTAAGATTTTAAAGTACATTTAAAGATTACTTAAAGATAAATTAAAATTTAAATTTAAATAGAAAAAATGGGTAAAATATTAAGACAAAGAATGAATAATTTGGCTATAAAAAATTGATTAAAACATTAATTAGAAAGTAAATAATTTATTAATTAATTTAATTATATTAGAAAAAAAATCTTATATTAAATAAATAAATAAAATAGGATGTAATAATAATTTTAAAATCACATCAGATTTTTAATTTTAAATACGCTGTTAATTAATAGAATCATGTATTGCTTTCAGATTTATTTATCTAATAATCAATAGTCAATTCATTTTACTTTTGAAACAGATTGTAATATTTATTAATACTAACTTTCTTATAGACATATATTCATTCATTAATTAATTACTTCAACCAAATAGCTAGTAAAGTTTTTATTATTTTCTATTCATATTTATTTATTTATTTACTTGTTAATTAATAGTGAGTAAAATTTTTGAATGACTTTAAATAAGAAAGAAACGAATATTCTAAATAGCCCGTAAAGCTTTTATGTTAAATGCCACTCTAAAAGAAATACTAAATTATTTTATTTCTATTATAGACTGTATAATGATTTAATAATATTTTATCAGAATATTCTAAAATATCTTCAATTTTAAAATAAGCTTGTAAATTTTAATTTTAGCATTTTGAAATATTCAAATAAAATGACTTAAATAGGGAGAAGTAAAGATCAATCTAGTTATCCTCTTAGCTTGATATTATATTTGGTTTTATTAAAAATAAATAAATAATAGACAGTAATTTTTTAATAACATTTCATAGTCTTAGCAAAATAGAGGGACAAAATAATAAATTA